AATGGGTAATAATTGTAATAATTTGAATTTTCTCTTACTTCCTGTTTCCAATGTTTCTCTCTCTCTCTCTCGCTCTCTCTCTCTCTCGCTCTCTCTCTCTCGCTCTCTCTCTCTCGCTCTTTCTCTCTTGCTCTTTCTCTCTCGCTCTTTCTCTCCCCCTCCCTTTCTCTCTTTCTTTTCCTCTTTTCTTCCTCTCCTCTCATCTCGTCTCTCTGCCTCCCCCTCTCTCCATCTCTTTTCATCTCTCTCTTTCCCTCCTTTCCTCTCTTCCTTTCCTCCTCTGCCTCTTTCTGTAACCTCGAAGGACCGGAAATTGCAAAAACCGTGTGAGATTCGCCAACGATGAGTGATCATGATTTCACGGCATAAAAAAAAGCCAAGATCTCCCAAGACGATTTTTGAGAAGCTTCACACGAGAATGAATAAAAAAAAGAAAAAAGAAAGAAAAAAATATTATCAATGAATGACTCAAGTAAGAATAAGAGAATAAGAGAGGGAGAAAGGGGGAGAGGGAGAGAGGGAGAAAATGGGAGAGGGAGAGAGGGAGAGAGAGGGAGAGAAGGGGAGAGAGAGGGAGAGAAGGGGAGAGAGAGGGAGAGAAGGGGAGAGAAGGGGAGAGAAGGGGAGAGAAGGGGAGAGAGAGGGAGAGGCTTGTCCCTTCATCCACGTCGAAGACAAAAGATTTGTCCCCCAGATTCACATTTTATTCCGTCTGTATGAATATATAAGAGAAGCGTGGCTTAGCATTACGAACTTGACAAGAAACAAAAAGAAACCATCTGGACATCTTCCAAGACACGAAGACAACAACAAAAATAAAACGAAGAAAAAAGAAAAAAGGAAAAAAAAACCCACACATCTGGAAATCTTCAAGACACGAACGAAGACAATAACAGAGGACTACGACACCGTCCAATATTGCTCAACAAGGATGTGTGTGTTCCGAGTTTCCGGCGCAAGACCTGCGCGGGACTGCCCCGGCCGGCCCCCACGCTCGGCATTCCTTGGTGCTGTCTACAATTTCCTGGCCAATTCTAATCCCTTTAACACTCCTCGGCGACCCCCCCCCCCCCCCCCCCGCCATGATGCTGCCGACGCTCCGCTGGTTTTGAACAGCGATATTGTACCGTGTTACCTGCTGTGTTAAAGGCTGTGTTGTCTGATGTGTTAACTACTACGCTGCCTAGTGTGTTATCCTTAATGTGTTATTTACCCGGCGTGTTACCTGTTGTGTTACCTGTAGATTCGGATTCTACTTAGCCCTATCACATGACTGCGTGGCACTCGGGTCGTCATGCGGCCACAGTACGATTCGGGAAC